TGGACAATTATAAAAGCTAGTATTATGGTAGCAGCAGTTTGTAACTCCACTTTTTGCTTTCTACAAAATTCAAGATGATTTAAAATACTTATGAGTTTATGTTTGGGGCATATAATGTACAAAGATGTGATTCTGTTATATCAGCAACTGAAAAGGATGGGGAAGGAGCAGAATTTTTGTATGTTATTGAAGTTAAACTAGTATAAACTCAAATTAAAGTCTTATAATTTTAGGATGTGAAACCAGTGGCTGAGGCACGAGGTTGGGGGAATCAGGAGTTACTGTCTAATGGGTATAGCATTTCAGTTTTGCAAGATGAAAAGAGTTATGAAGATTGATGGTGGTGATGGCTACACAATATTATGAATGTATTTAATACACCAAACTGCACATCTAAAAATGGTTGAAATGGTAAATTTTATGTTATGTGTATTTTACCACAACAAAAAATTGGGCGGGAGGCGGGGAGGTGGAGGGGGGAAGTGATCTATTTTCCCCATGCCATTTCCCGGACTGTATCATTGAGTGAGTATAAGTACCATCATAAAATATGAAGGAAATAGAGAATGATATACCATGCAAATATTAATTTAAAAGTACACATTAAACTAAGTTTAACTAATGAAATTAAAATAGTACATCAAACTATATTACTGTACCACCTAAAATCATCTCACTCACCATGGCATTACCTGTATCACACTTGGAAGACACTGGTTTCATAATTTCTAAAGGTGTTTGGCACCAAATTCTCAGACTCTCTCACCTCTCCATAATAATCCAGTCAATGGACTCATTTTGGTTAAAATGGCTGCTCTGATGGGAAAGACATTTCTGGGAATCCAGCAAACCAGATTCTCAGTTCTGAGGTTTCAACGACAAGGCCTATGACACAAGAGTTGAAATGCTGCCAGAAGCACCCTCAGCCACTAAAGGATGCTTGGAGAGAATATAGGTGGCATAAGAGGAGATCCGAACCGGAGGATGGCCTTTCCACTTTTCCCCCAGGAAAAGTTCAACGTATCAAGCTTCAGAATCATTCAGCAAAGGACTTGTAAAGGACACTGAATTTTGTCTATGGCTGTGAGATGAAGTCAATTAAAAGGAGGTATTATAAAATGGCACTGCCCGACATGCTGTGGTAGGGTCCCCTCCCTAAGGAAAGAAAAAAAAACCTCAAGGCAACCTGGCTATATGCGTACGTGACAACATCCCTCGTGGCCTTGTACCATCAGACCACTTAATCAGACTGCATGTTTGTGTGTTACCATATATGGGAGACAAAGAAGTAAAAAATATATTAAAACAACCACACCACATGGCGTTTAGGGCTCAGTTATTCGGGTGTGAACCCAACTGGGTGGTGCCGACAGGAATAAAGTTGGTTCCTGGAAAGAAAAGCCTCGGTGTCACAACTCTCTGTGCAAGAATCCTTCTCCATTACTTGGGGGCTCACGCCCGGGATTCGGAGACACGTGTTTCCACCTCCTTTGCCATTGGAGACACGAACATCAGAGCATGGGTGAGGCAGCCTTCCCTGGCACCTTGCTCTACTCTTTGCCATAGGATTGGCCAAGGCTGCTCCAGCCAGCTAAAAATGTGGTGAGAGTTTTCTGTTAGCACTCACCTTCCTTTTGTGGATAGGATACTTCGTTGGTACCAACATGGGGAAACAATGGCCATAAGAGACTAGAAAATTTAGATCCCCACCAATCTTATAGTAAAACAAAATACCCCAGTGCTACTACCAGGGTTTGGCTCCTCAAAAGCTCAATTATTGGGAAAAACTGTCTTGCCTGGTGGGGAAAAAGTTCATCGTCATCTCTGTTAAAAACTTAACATGCCTATGCCAAAGATTTTATAACTCAACTGGCCAGAAAACCCCATGGTGGGGGACTCCAGATCACCTTAAGACAGATCCCCACCCCTTGTCTAACTTCTCTCATCTCTGAGAGGCCTGGGACAGTGTCAACGCAGCCATCAAATGGCAGACTCCAGGTGGACTATACTAGATATGTGAAAGGACAGCCTATAGAGTACTTCCCTCAGGCTGGTCATGGTCATGTGTGCTGGAAACTATTCACCCATCTTTCTTCCTGCTCCCACTTGCCAGAGAAAAACATTTGGAAGTCCAAGTGTATGGGGACAGCGAGACTCCAAAAAAAGCAGCATGCCTTACAAATTGGCAATTAAAAAGACGATAAATGGCCTCCTGAGCGTATAATCCAGTATTGTGGTCCTGCCACCCGGGCAGAGGATGGGTCCTTGGGCTACCACACTCCCATTTACATGCTAAACTGCATAATTAGACTACAAGCAGTTATAAAAATTATAACCAATAAAACTGCCAGAGCTCTTAACTTACGAGACAAGTAGCAAGCCAAAATACACAATGCCCTATCTATCATAATCTCTTGGCCTTAGATTACCTGCTTGCTTCTGACGGAAAACTTTGTAAAAAGTTTAACCTACGCAACTGCTGCCTACAGAGAAATAAGGAAAACGAAAGTCATAAAAGAGATCACAAATCAAATAAAAAGAATTGTTCATGTCCCCATCCAGACCTGAAACGGTTAAAACCCCAGGGGGTTATTTGGAAAATGGTTTTCAACTTTTGGGGGATTCAAAACTCTCATAAAAATTATCCTCCTAATTCTGGGAGGTTGCTTAATCCTACCTTGCTTATTAGCTCCCCTGGTAGTACGTTCTTTCTCCAGACTCACTAAGGCCATGATTAAAAAAAAAAAGATAGCCACTCATGTAATGATGTTATAAAAATATAAGCCTCTAAACCAAGATGATGCTCTTTGACCCAAAACAGCATCAAAAGGGGGAATGTGGTAGGGTCCCTCCCTAAGGAAAGGAAAAAAACCTCAAGGCAACCTGGCTATATGTGTATGTGACACCATCCCCCACGACCATGTAACATCAGACCACTTAATCAGACTGCATGTTTGTGTGTTACCATATATGGGAGACAAAGAAGTAAAAAATATATAAAAAAAACTACGCCACGTGGGGCTCAGTTCTTCGGGTACGAACCCAACTGAGCAGTGCTGGCAGGAATAAAGTTGCTTCCTGGAAAGAAAAGCCTCGGTGTCAAGACTCTCTGTGAGAGAATCCTGCTATAATGTCAGCCACCGCCTACACACGGCTACTCATACCTACATTTAATTAAAATTAAATGACTCTACAAATGCAGTTCCTCCTTTGCACAAGCCACATTTCCAATGAGCAACAGCTACAAGTGGCTAAAAGCTACTGTATAGGACAGACCAGAGGTATATTTCTATCACTGCAGAAGGTTCCCCTGAATGGGGCTGCTCTGTGGTCTTTACTCATCAACAGTCATGGATTAGAAGAAAATACAGTCATGTGACAAGGTGCAGTGGAGCTGAAACTGCAAGTGACAATCAAAGTAGATCTAGAGGAAAAGCAATACATCATTTTCTTTCTCCCCAGTCCTGATCCCCTATTTGCATTTTGTTGTCCAGAGCTTTTTGTGTCAACAGGGTTGGACATACTCCACTTATGGAGCTAAGAGTGACAAGCATATAAATTATTTGGAAAATAATAAAAAGTTTGTGGGGCACCTGGGTGGCTCAGTCGATTGAACATCCAAATTCAGCTCAGGTCATGATCTCACCATTCGTGAGTTCAAGCCCTGCGTTGGGCTCTGTGCTGACAGTGGAGAGCCTGGAGCCTGCTTCGGATTCTGTGTCTCCCTTTCTCTCTGCTCCTCCCCCACTCACACTCTGTCTCTCTCAAAAATAAATAAACATTAAAAAAAAAAAAAAAAAAAAGAACAGAGCCTTGGGAACCCATAGAACCATTATTAAAGTTCTAACAGTTGTCTTTGGAGTTCCAGAAAGAAAAGAGAAAGAGACTGGGGTAGAAAAAAATATTTCAAAATAATGGCTCAAAGCCTTACAAATTTGGTAAGAAACAAAAATTTATGTAATCAAGAAGCTCAGCAAAGATAAACTTAAAAAAAAAAAATCAAAATCAGATTTTTGAAGACCAGAGAAAAGAAAAAATACTAAAAGCAGCTAGAGGAAAGTAACACATTACACATTGCATGACCACAGATTACTCATCAGAAATCGTGATAGTTAGACTGAAATAACATCTTTAAAGTGCTAAAAGACCAATTAACCTATGACACTATCCTTCAGGAATGAAAGAAAATAACATTCTCAATTGAAAGAAAACTAAGAAAATTCGTAGCAGCAGATTTGTTCTAAAAGAAGTGTTAAAGGAAGTTCTTCAAGCTGAAGTAAATGATGAGAAATAAAAATGGAACTTCAGAAATGAATGAAGAATGGGGTGCCTGGGTGGCTCAGTAGGTTAGGTGTCCGACTTGGGCTCAGGTCATGATCTCACGGTTTGTGAGTTCAAGCCTGTGTCAGGCTCTGTGTTGACAGCTCAGCACAGAGCCCGCTTTCAGATTCTCTGTCCCCTTCTCTCTCTGCTCCTCCCCTGTCATGTGCTCTCTCTCTCAAAAACAGACATTTAAAAAAAAAAAAAAGAAGAAGAAATGAATAAAGAGCAAAATAAATGGTAAAATTCTGGGTAAACATAAAAGACTATTTTATCCTCCTAAATTCTTTAAAATATGTAAAAGTATATAAAGCAAATGTTGAAACACAGCTAAATACTAATTTCAATGATGTAGATATAATAAATACAACATAAAAGGGAGAAGTTAAGAGTCTTACACATAGTTTACTGACAGTGATAAAATACTAACTTTATCCTGACTGTAAACGAATAGGTATATAGATTGCTATCCCTACAGCAAAATATATGAAAAGATATAGCCAAAAAGCAAAAAGACACATTTTTAAAGACTAAGGAACAAGAACCATATGAACACCTCAACAGACACAGAAAAAGCAACTGACAAAATTCAATATCCAGTCATGATAAAAATCTCACCAAACTGAACTTCCTACACCTGGTAAAGAGCATCCATGAAAAACCTAAGCTAACACACTTACTGGTAAATAACTGAAAGCCTTCCCATAACATCAGGAACAAGGTAGGGATGTCTGCTCTTATCGCTCCTGTCCAACATCATACATCAACATCATGGTCCTAGCCAGAGCATGAGACAGGAAAAAGAAATAAAGGCAAAAAGATTTGAAAAAAATAAAAGTCTGTATCCACAAATACCATGATTGTCTACATAGAACAATCACAAGGAACGTGCTAAAAAATAAAAAAGCCCCTGGTATTAGTAAATGGACTTAGCAAGGTTGTACAGCATAAGATCAATACAGACAAATCAGGTGTATTTCTCTACATTAGCAATGAACATCTAGAAATCAGTGTTATTTAAAATAGCACCAAAAATTATTAAATACATAGGTATAATCTAATAAACTGTGCAGAACCTGTATGCTGAACCACAAAAACAGCGATGAAAGAAATTAAACTCCTCAATAAATGGAGAGATACACTGTTTTCATGGATTGGAAGACTCAATATTTATATCAATTCTCCCTCAAAACTGATATATACATGTAATACAATCCCAATCAGAATCTCAGCAGGATCTGTTCTAGATATCAATAAGATGATTTGAAAATTTATATAAAAAGGCAAAGGAACCAGAAAAGCCAAAACAATTTTGAAAAGAACCAAGTTGAAGAACTTATACTATTTGATTTCAACACTTACTACAAAACTTCAGTGATTAAGACAGTGTGACTCTGGCAAAAGAATAGACACATAGATCAATGGAACAGATTACAGAATGAAGTGACAGAATCAACAGATGACTTACAAAACTGCAAAGGCAATTCAACAAAGAAAGGGTGCTCTTTTCAACAAATGTTATTGAAACACTGAAATTTGCAGGCGCAGGCGCACGCGCACACACACACACACACTGAATCTCAACCCTTATCTCACAACATACCCTCAAAATCAACTCAAATGGATCATTTCTAGAAGAAAACACAAGAGAAAAATCTTTGTAACCCTGGATATGGCAGTTTTTACACAAAACATTAAAGGCAGGATGCATAAGAGAAGAAAGAATAGATAAATTTGACTCCATCAAAACCTTGTGTTCTGAGATAGTGTTAAGAGAATGAAAAGACAAACCACAAATTGGACAGAATATCTGCAAATTACATACTGAACAAAAGACTTATATCCAGAATATACAAAGAACTGTCAAAATTATGTAATAAAAACAAAATAATGGGCAAAATATTTAAATAGACATTTCATCCAAGATATGTGAAATAAAACACTCATTCATTACCAAGAAAATGTAATTAAAACCACAATGAGATACCCCTTCAAACCAATATAAACAGCTAAACTAAAAATTACTAAAAATACCAAGTACTCATGGAACTCTCTTACATTGGCTAGAGAGCATGCAGAATAGTGTAGTCACTTTAGAAAAGAGTTTGGCAGTTTCTTAGAGTTAAACTTATTCTCACACAAAAACACAGATGGTGTGTTTACAGCAGCTGCATAATTGCCAAAAACTGGAAACATCTCAAATGTCTTTCAATTGATTAGTGAATAAACAAACTGCAGTATATCCATACACTGGAATACTACTTAGCAATAAAACGGAATAAATGCACAACAATGTGGATAAAGCACAAATGCAGTATGCAAATGTAGGAAGACACACTCAAAAGGCTATATACTGTATTATTTCATTTACATGATTTCTGGAAAGGGCAAACTCATAGGGAAAAAAAACAGATCAGCTGCCAAGCACTGGGCACAGGGAAAGGCATTAATTACAAAAGACATAATGAGATAATTTCTGGGGGTGATGAAACTGATCTGCCATACACATGAATTGCTTATATATTAATGACAAGATAAATCATTTGAAAATAAATATTTATAGGAATCCAGTGTTACTCTAAAATTTCTGGGAGTGAAAAATTTTCTTGACTGGCTGTTGGAAGAGTAGCTATGTTATTTTTCCCCGGAAGAAAAAGTTCCTTCTCAACACCCAAACAAGGACAACCACAGGGCTCACTGGGTCTACTATCTTTATACACACACTTAACTAGCTTTCTCAGAAAAACAACATGAAACTTTGGGTAAGCTGTACCACTCACTCTGTGACTGATCTGGGGCACATATGTAACTTATCTCAACCTCAGCCCACTAATCTGCAAAACACTGAGTTGGCTGTCAGGATTAAGTGAGGCAGTTTATATAAAATAGCCAAAGCCTTACTTTTCCTACACTTAGGCTTTGTCTTCTCACCTTCCCTTTTCCTCATATTCTATAGAAACATTTCCATTGGAAGTTAGTCTATTCTCAGGGCTAAACTCCAATTTCTGAACCATCTGGTTATGAATACTTCTTTTTTTTTTTTTTTTTTAAGTTTATTTTGAGAGAGACACAGAGAGAGCATAAGGAGCAGGGAAGGGGCAGAGAGAAGGGGAGAGAATCCCAAGCAGGCTCCGCACTATCAGCACAAAGCCCAAGGTGGGGCTCGAACTCACAAACCATGAGATCATGACCCAAGCCGAAACCAAGAGTTGGCTGCTCAACTGACTTGGCTACCCAGGCCCCCTGATTTTGTGTATTTCTTAAGATAATTTTCAGCTACCAGAAAAGGCCAGGCACCCCTGACTACTTCAAACACCACAAATATTAACCATAATATTTGTGTACCAACGGCAGGCAATAAAGCCACAACACCAGTGAGGATTCAGCTTCTGCTCTTTTCATTGTAAACACAACCTGCTTCAAATCTGTTTTATCAATATTAAAGGTTGTAATGGCCAAAAAGCATTTAGACTAAAGGAATAATTTCAACTGACTACATCGTTAGGTGCTCTCACAAAGTCTACTTTCTTGCATTTTGGCCTCCCCACTAAAAGAGTTTGGAGAAAAAAATGAGAACTCAAAGAGGTGACAGACTGATTTACTTAGATCAGTCGGAATGAAGTGATTTCATCGTAACAGGTAGAATAACAACAGCACTTTATCATTCAGGAACCAAAAGCAAAGACAGCCAAAAAGGACAAAGTTAAACTAGAAAGCTGAAATAACGAACTCAAATATCCCCATCTGCAGTAGAGTCTATACATAACAGCAGTCCATTGGGCTGCTATGAAAATTACAATTCAATGAGAGTGTTAAATGCACGAACATTAAATGGACTCAATAAATGGAATGTAAGGTAGAGACGTGAAACTTCCCTGGTTCATCCGATATAATTCATACTGGCTTTTAATAAGGAAGATCTTCTCTGACCCCAACCCCCCCAAACATTACAAGCTTCTAAGCTTAAAGCTTATAATACATCAAAGAACAAGAATGACTTTGGGTAACAAGTAAATAATCTTCCCTCAAAAATACATACATATGGTCCTAGACACAACTTACCAAGACTCAATGAAGAAATAAAAAATCTCAACAGACCTATAAGTAGTAGGGAGATTTAATGAATAATCTAAAACCTCAAATAAAGGTAGGTCCAGGACAAGATGGTTTCACAGGTGAATTCTAGCAAACATTTAACCAAGAATTACCACCAAATCTTCTCAGGGGCACCTGGCTGGCTCAGTTGGTACAGCATGCAACCCTTGATCTCAGGGTCGTGAGTTCAAGCCCCTCATTGGGCGTGGAACCTACTTAAAATAAATAAAGAATACAGTGTGTCAAATATTAAAAAAATAAACAACAAAAAAAACCCCACCAAATCTTCTAACTCCTCTAAAATATTAAAGCAGGCGGAACACTTTCTATTTTATAAGGCCAAGACTGCCCTGATACTAAAGCCAGATAAAGACACCACAAGAAAACTATAGACCAGTATCTCTTAAGTTAGTGCAAAATCCTCAACAGTATATTAACCCAACCAGCATATTAAGGAATTACACACAATGACCAAGTGGGATTAATTCATGGAACGCAAGAACTGCTCAACACGTGAAAATCCATCAGTGTAATGTATCACACTAAAAACTGAAGGAAAAAAAACCACCTAATCAGCTGAGTTGTTGCAGAAAAAGCATGTGGCACAATTCAATACCCTTGCATGATAAAAATATTCAGCAAACTTGGAATAGAAGGAAACTACGTCAACATAACAAAGACCACATACAAAAAACCCACAGGTAACATCTATTCAATGGTGCAAGGGTTTGAAAGCTTTTTCTCTTAAGATTAGAAAGATGACAAGGATGACTGCTTTCACACTTTTTTCTTGAAGTTTATTTATTTTGAAAGAGAGAGAGAGAGAAAGACAGAGGGTAGGAGGGAGGGAGGGAGGGAGAGGGAGAGGGAGAATATCCCAAGCAGGCTTCAGGCAATCAGTGCAGAGCCTGACATAGGGCTTAATCTCACGAACCACGAGATCATGACTTGAACCGAAAGAGAGTCAGACGCTTAACCAACTGAGCCACCCAGGCGTCCCTGATTTCACCACTTCTATTCAACATACTACTGGAAGTCCTAGCCAGAGGAATTAAACAAGAAAAAGACACAAAAGCATGCAAACTGAAAAAGAAGTAAAATTATCTCTGTTCACAGACAACAACACTATGATATAGGTGGAAAAGCCTAAAGATGCAACAAAAAACTGTTAGAACTGATAAACAATTTCAGCAAAGTTACAGGATACAAAAATCAACACATGAAAACCAGTTGTGTTTCTATACACTGATAATGAACAATCTGAAAAAGAAATTAAGAAACAATTCCATTTACAACAGCACTGAAAAAAATTAAATAATTAGGGATAAACTTAACCAAGGAGGTAAAAGATTTGTATACTGAAGACTATAAAATATTGCTGAAAGATTTAAAGAAGACATAAACAGAAAGAAATCCCATGTTTGTGGACTGCAAAACTTTACACTGTTAAGATGTCAATACTATCCAAAAACAACCTACAGATTCAACATAATCCCTATCAAAATCCCAATAACATTTTTTGCAGAAATAGAAAAAGCCATACGGAAATCCCAAGGGACCCTAAACAATCCAAATAATCTTGAAAAAGAATACAAACAGAAAATGGAACAGTGATTGTCAGGGGCTGGGGTGAGGAAGAAATGGGAGTTATTTAATTGGTACAGAGTTCCAGTTTTGTAAGATTAAAAACTCCTGGATACTGGCTGCACAACATGTGAATATATTTAACACTAATGAACTACACACTTAAAAGTGGTTAGGATGATAAATTTTACCACAAGTGAAAAAACAAAGTATATACACACAAACACACATTTGAAAGATGACTGCCTTCAGAGTTCACCTGGAGAGGCAAGAGAAGTCACTTAGTTTATTGACAGTGTAGCCCCCGTGTGTCTGAAATAACACCAATGTTTCCCTCAAAAGAAAATTATTAATTATCCTGAATGAATGACAACGGCTTTTGGGATTTATCGGCTCTGGTATTAATTCTAAAAGACTAGGGCTAGTATTCTTCTCATATAAACTAATCTTAATCCAATTTTTAATGATGTTTATAATTCCTATTTAAAAAAAGAAAGAAAGAAAGTAACCAGGAAAAGTAATCAAGCCCCTGGAAGACAATATTATCAACCCATTTTTGCCCCAAGTAAACACAAATGACAAATGACTTAACTGATCAACTTTATAAAGAGCACTGTAATCTGTGAACTTCATTTCTAACCAATTTGGCCTGAGTGCTGGAAAGGGGTTATGGGGCAGCTCATAGAACTGGGATTCAAAAAACAACAAAAAACAAAGAAAGATTTTTTACCTTACATTCTGTTTCTGGCTCTAGAAAGACACTTGTGTCTAAGTCTTAGCTGTCTGGTCTATGATACCATGATCCTACTGTAAAAGAGCACTGCGTGTTAATTATGATTCAAAACCCAACTAAATAGAAATACACCAATGCTAAGGATGGTTTTTGTAAGCTATCATTTTCATTATGTGTCACACTTTTCCTAGTTAAAATAATTTTTACTTACTTGGTCAACTTGTGGCTTTTCATTGCTGTGAGAAACTCTCTGACAATCTCAGGACTCTGGTGCCTGCATGGTGTTTTTGATATATATTTTAATGTCTACAAAAAAAATTTTAAAAAGAAAATGCATAAGACAAAAAAATCTGAATGAGAAAAAGGGAAGATAATGGTTATAATTTAGTATTGTAAAATTTTGTTTAAAAAATCTTCTATAGGGGTGCCTTGGGTGGCTCAGTCGGTTAAGTGTCCAACTTCAGCTCAGGTCACGATCTCATAGTTTGTGAGTTCAAGCCCCACGTCAGTCTCTGTGTTGACAACTCAAAGTCTGGAGCCTGCTTCAGGTTCTGTGTCACCCTCTCTCTCTGTCCCTCCCCTGCTCACTCTGTCTCTCACTCTCTCTCAAAAATAAAAAAATATTAAATAAAAATAAAAGACAATCTTCTATAAAAAAATGCCTTCAGGAGAGTTAATCTTCATATAATGGGAATTCCTCAAAATGAAAATCAGTAGCTAGAACAGGAATAATGAATGACATTCAGGAAGAAAGCTTTCCTGATCTTAAAAAAAAGAGAAGAAAAACCTCAATCTGACAATTGTGTTATATTTCAATTTTTTTTCTTTTTTCTTTTTAATGTTTATTTTTAAGGGAGAGTGCAAGTGGGACAGGAGCAGAGAGAGAGAGGAAGACAGAGGGTCCAAAGCAGGCTTCACACTGAAAGCAGCAAACCCAACGTGGGGCTCGAACTCATGAAACGTGAGATCATGACCTGAGCAGAAGTTGCCACTCAACCGACTGAGCCACCCAGAAGCCCCTTCAGACAATTTTTTTAAAGACATGAAACCCAAAGAATAGTCACAAATCCATACAGATATAAGTAAATAAATAAATGGATGAGAAGGAACAATTGTTTGTTACAGAAGATTTCTATGTGTTAAATATGGTAGGAATGAGGGAAATAATCACCATTAGGCAATTGAACCACAGTAATAATTACTGCAGGAAAGACCTACCAATGAATACTAAAATCAATGGGCAAAAGCTTAAGGAGAAATATGATATTTGCATAGCCTCACAGCATCTTCCCCAAATATTTATTAATACTGTGATAGTTTTAATATATATGTCCTCAAACTCTTTGATACCCTTCCCTTCAAGAGGTGCCTTTCAATGGACTGGACTTGGTGACTCCTTTCTAATGAATACGAAGTATAAACAGAAAAACAGTAACTTTACAGTGGGGAAACCAGGCAGATACCACTATAATCAAGTGATCTCAGTTAACAGTACCAGTGACAAGACACTGATATCATGTACCCTGTATCACGCACTGAGCAGGGCACATCGCTTCTGTGGCATTCTTCCCCAAAAGCTGTAACTTCAGTTTGATCATGAGAAAACATCAAACAAACCAAAGCTGAAGGACATTCTATAAAAGACTTGCATTGGTACTCTTCAAAGTGTCAAGGTCATGCATGGAAGATGAGGAAAGACTGAGGAAAGACTAAGGATCCGTTACAGACGGTAGGATATAAGGAGACATGCTAACATTTAACATGTTAAATACAAAATGGCATCCTGAATCAGATCCTTGAACAGAAAAAGGGCATTAATGGAAAAACTGAGAAAATCTGAATAAAATGTTTGTGTCATTTTCTTAGTTTTGATCATTGTACCATGGTTACATAAAATGTTAACATCAAGGAAACCTGGGGGAAGGAACTCTCAGCACCATCTTTATAACTTTTCTGTAAAATTATCTCAAAATAAAAGGCTCTTACTTTTTTTAAAAGAGAGAATCCCACCTAGACATAACTTCAAAGGAATTTCAAGCCTGAAAAGTAAACAGTAACCTCATAAGTTAAGAGTTTCTCTCAAGTTCAAAAATCTGGTTGGTCTCAGACTCCTCCATAACGACAAACAATAAGAGACCAAGTAATACCTACAGAGCCTTGACGACTGAAGGCTGAGCCCAATAACTCCATAGTCAGATGAGGGGTCATTCACATTAAAAACACGAGAAATAGGGGCGCCTAGGTGGCTCCTTCTTTATAAATGATGAAACTGAGGGGCTCCTGGGTGGCTCAGTCGGTTAAGCGGCCAACTTCGGCTCAGGTCATGATCTCGCGGTCCGTGAGTTCAAGCCCCACGTCAGGCTCTGTGCTGACAGCTCAGAGCCTGGAGCCTGTTTCAGATTCTGTGCCTCCCTCTCTCTCTGCCCCTCCCCTGTTCATGCTCTGTCTCTGTCTCAAAAATAAATAAATGTTAAAAAAAAAAATTTTAAAACAAAAAAAAACACGAGAAATACATTCTCAAGTATAAACAGTCTCAAAACCCTTAACACCACAATAACCTTCCTTAAGGTACCACATATTAAAAGCAAGAGCTTAATGAGTGTGTAATAGAGTGGCAGTGAGCTTAGACTGATTTAAGCGCGCAGAAGAGCACCTGACAGCTTGAAATTTGGCTGTAAAACTAATTACAAACATTTCATTTTTTTTTTAAAGAGATGGATGAACGATACAATGTAAAAGAACATGAGTGAATAAATGAATGATGGGATTTCAAACACATGATTAGATGAACAAAACCAGACAGGGAGGAATGGGGACAAACGTACTAACCCCCCCCTTAAATTCCTTAAAAGGCATTATGGTAACTTAACCCAGGTTTAATTTTGTCTTTGAAAAGATAAAGATAATTAAAACTAAATCCTGGGGTGCCTGGTTGGCTCAGTTGGTTAAGCGTCCAACTCGATCTCAGCTCAGGTCATGATCCCAGGATCATGAGATCAAGCCCCTGAGCATGGAGCCTGCTTGGGATTCTCTTTCTTTCTTTCTTTCTCTCTCTCTCTCTCTCTCTGCCCCTCTCCCCCTAAAATAACAAAGTAAATAAAAATAAAAACTAGAGGTGCTTAGGCAGCTCACTTGGTTAAGCATCCTTTTTTTTTTCAATATATGAAGTTTATTGTCAAACTGGTTTCCATACAACACCCAGTGCTCATCCCAAAAGGTGCCCTCCTCAATCCTATCACCCACCCTCCCCTCCCTCCCACCGCCCATCAACCCTCAGTTTATTCTCAGTTTTTAAGAGTCTCTTATGCTTTGGCTCTCTCCCACTCTAACCTCTTTTTTTTTTTTTTTCCTTCCCCTCCCCCATGGGTTTCTGTTAAGTTTCTCAGGATCCACATAAGAGTGAAACCATATGGTATCTGTCTTTCTCTGTATGGCTTATTTCACTTAGCATCACACTCTCCAGTTCCATCCATGTTGCTACAAAAGGCCATATTTCATTCTTTCTCATTGCCACGTAGTACTCCATTGTGTATATAAACCACAATTTCTTTATCCATTCATCAGTTGATGGACATTTAGGCTCTTTCCATAATTTGGTTATTGTTGAGAGTGCTGCTATAAACATTGGGGTACAAGTGCCCCTATGCATCAGCACTCCTGTATCCCTTGGGTAAATTCCTAGCAGTGCTATTGCTGGGTAATAGGGTAGGTCTATTTTTAATTTTTTGAGGAACCTCCACACTGTTTTCCAGAATGGCTGCACCAATCTGCATTCCCACCAACAGTGCAAGAGGGTTCCCGTATCTCCACATCCTCGCCAGCATCTATAGTCTCCTGATTTGCTCATTTTGGCCACTCTGACTGGTGTGAGTGGTTAAGCATCCTTAACTCTCAATTTCAGCTCAGGTCATGATCTCACGGTTCATGAGTTCAAGTCCCATATCAGGCTCCGTGCTGATAGTGTGGAGCCTGCTAGGAATTCTCTCTCTGCCCCCTCCCCTGCTCTCTCTCTCAAAATAAATAAATAAACTTTAAAAAGAATAATAAAATGTTAAAAAAAATAAAAACTAAACCCTTTATAAAGACAAAATCAGATTTGAAAGGAAATAGCCAAAACATAAATTAAAATGACAGATATAAAAATCAAACATCACAGGGGCACCTGGGTGGCTCGGCCGGTTAAGCGTTGACTCTTGATTTTGGCTCAGGTCATGATCTCACTGTTCATGAGTTCGAGACCACTATCAGGCAGAGCCTGCTTGGGATTCTGTCTCCCTCTCTCTCTGACCCTCCCCAACCTATTCTCTCTCAAAATAAATAAAAGTAAACTTTTTAAAAAATTATTAAAAAAATCAAACATCATATATAACAAATATAATAGCTTAAACTTTCTTTTTTAAGGATAAAGCATAAGGTTGGAAGAAAACATAGCAAGATGTCAACTAGATGTTAGATTATAAATTACTTTAGCTTTCTTCTTTATCCTTTTTGGTACTTCTTAAGTTTTTTACAATAAAAAACATCACTTTTTGTGCAATAAAGAATTGAGCTTTGGGGCACCTGGGTGGCTCAGTTGGTTGAGCATCCGACTTCAGCTCAGGTCATGATCTCACAGTCTGTGGGTTTGAGCCCCACGTCGGGCTCTGGGCTGATGCTCGGAGCCTGGAGCCTGCTTCAGATTCTGTGTCTCCTCCTCTCTCTGCCCCTCCCCAGTTCATGCTCTCTCTCTCTCTCATTAATAAATAAATGTAGAAAGAAAGAAAGAAAGAAAGAAAGAAAGAAAGAAAGAAAGAAAGAGAGAGAGAGAGAGAGAGAGAGAGAGAGAGAGAGAAAGAAAGAAAGAAAGAAAGAAAGAAAGAAAGAAAGAAAGAAAGA